GATTGTCCAATGGATTTTCTGAGGGATTGTCCAATGGATTTTCCAAGACATTGTCCAATGGATTTTCCAAGACATTGTCCAATGGATTTTCCAAGACATTGTCCAATGGATTTTCCAAGACATTGTCCAATGGATTATCGGACGGATTCTCTAACGGATTTTCCAACGGATTGTCCAAGAGATTGTCCAACGAATGATCTGCAATATGACCCGCAAGATCATCTATTATACCCCCCGCGATGTCGCTAATCCCTTTGCAGGAACTTCCCCCGGATGAAACGCTTTCGGTGCGGGACCTATCATCATCGGAACCGTCGCTTGTGGAAATTCCCTCCATGGAACACCCGCCACGGAGACAGCTACCTCGAATACAGGACTCGCTCCCTACGGGACTGCAGCTGCTACTACCCCCACAATTTCCAACACACTTATCGGCTTCCTCACCGGAGCTAAAACCATCTCCCTGGAACGGATTGTACTCAACATCAAATGTGCTTCCATGTGAGGACGGAAATATAGATGACACAAACTCGGCTAGGCTTCTGGGCTCCATGCCTCTTCCTCTGCCCGAGTGTTCATCCTGCGAAAGGGCGCAAAGAAAGGTGTGCGTTTGGGGACCCCCATAATGTGAACACCGCCTTCGACGTCGCGTTTAAGACGGAAGTTAACACTGGGGATAGTCCTAAGCTGAACACTAAGCTCAACCCTAAGCTCAATCGCAAGCCCAAACTCGAACAAAAAAAAAGAAAAAAAATTTCACCAATGTATCAACGAGAACTTACTTGAACTAAGATCTGCAGCAACGCGAAGCAAACTAAATTCGCATTCTTGAAAAATCTAAGGTTCCCCATGATGGTAGGCTCTGCAGATTTTTCACCTCTTGTCGTGAAGCTTCTCCTATATGTTTGGGTCGCTCCTATAGGTCGCTGTATGGGTCACTGTATGGGTCACTTTTCTACTCGATTATCTCGTAGCAAGGGGGGCACACACGTGGAGATGCTAATTCGATTGCTAGATAACAAGAATCTGCTGATACTAGCGGTTACTACGCAAACAAACTGTAGGCTATGATACAATAACTGTCGCTTTTTTTTTTTCTGGAATTTTTTTCTAAAATGAGAGTGTAACTCTATTTAGGTAGGGCAGCAAAAAAACATGCAGCGTTAGCTAGTTGATATATGGGTGCTCTCTCCATTTACTCTTTCCTCAAGCATGTGCACAAAAAGGGCCACGTCGAGAAAGCGCTTCAAAAAGGGCCTCCTCGAGAAAACACTTCAAAAAGAAAGCCACGTCGAGTAAGCGCCTCAAAAAGAGGGCCACGTCCAGAAAGAGGAGAACGAAAAGGGTACAAGGTGAACTCGGGATTAGCTACTCTTTCGAAAGAAACGAAAAGGCAAAGCGCTCCACTAGTCCGCTAATCATTGAAGAGAAAAAAGGGGAAGGGAGAAGAAGCCAAACCTTAGATTACGAATTGCATACGTTGGTACATGCGCATATGTTCCATTGTTATACAAAGCATTTATTTTACTGCATAGTGCAATTGCGGGGTTCGGATTCCGCACCCCTTCCTTGTACGAACTCTAGGCCGACATGCTAATTCGCCTTCCCTTTACGCTACCCCGTTTTGGCCTTTTCTTTTTTTTCCTTCTGTTTTCTCCTTCTCTTATCCGCGCCCTTTTAGACGCCCTAGAAATAAAAGAATATGCCCCCTTTAGGATATATGCCTCCCCTGCGCTGAAGTGTACACTTTTACTGCTAGTGATAAAGGGATAAATAAAAACAGGGACTATAGTAGAAAAAAAAAATGGAAATACAATCCCAAGCAGATGCAGGTGCATTCACCTTGATATCTCCACAGCACCCATGATTCTACGGGCGCGCGATTTGGATGTTGCCATAACTCCGAGCGCGCCTCCTCTTGAATACATTCGTGGCGGTGGAAAAATTTAGTCGTAATCTAAATCTCTTCCCCCTTGCGCGTGAAAATGGATGGTGCAAACACATGGGTGCGGAGAGAAACAGATGGCATAAATAACCCACCCCCGTGCAGTATAGCTCCTAACAAAATGGAGTATATAGCTAGAAAAAAAGCGGGGCAGATTGGTAAAGCACATCATACGAGCTTACAATTCATGCATCGTTTCCCCCTCCTTCACTCACTCCTAAATTGACATACCTACGTTGTATGACCCCACATGGAAACCTAATTCATGCGCGCTCATTATGCTGACCACCCAGTACAGGCGCATTTGCTTGATCAGAGTAATCAGAGAATTACGCGTGAACCTCAACTTTTCTCTGGTTCGGGGCCAGTGCGTTTAGCCCTACCTCTCCCGAAATAGGAATTACTCCGCGAGGGCACTATATGATCACAGTGCCAAAGTAGACCACTGCTGAGTAGCTACCTCCGGAGGAAGAGGGGAAGTCTGACAAATAGAACGGACAGATAAGGCGACAAAAGGGGATACACATTCATTCTGCAGGTGAACTGGCGCAGGCAAGAACCTTTTGGCAACTTCCTCTTCTGCGCCATTATAATAAAGAGAAACCGCGCACTCCTTTTTGTGCCCCCCTCCCCCTTGCTACTGGATAAACTTGGAAAAATGGAGGAACACCATCTTTTGAAAAGAAAAAAATTATCCTTGGAAATTAATCGTTATTTTAATTATGATACGTTGTGTGCACATAATACGTATATCAGTTCATATAAAAAAAGAAAGAATAAAAATTTGTGAGGAAGTTTTTTCTCCTTGACCTTCGAGCGTGTGTTACTCTCCTGGGAGACAAACACTAATATGCATGCTGCGCCGCAGTGCCACAAATCAGCTCCTCATCCAGCCTCTCAGTACTGAATGCGCATCTGCAAGGCCTCGTCTCTGTTCTCTTCCCAGTATGTCTTCAACAGCGCGTCCATTTTGGCACTACAAAAATTGCTCACCATCCTCCTGTATTCCTTACACAGTCGCCTGTAACTAATAAGCACATCAGTAAACTTCTTCGTTTTATATTTTCCAAAACGAACAAACGTACTAAAGCTTTTGAGGAATTGCCTCTCTTTAAAGAGAAAGAAGTTCGTCGTCTCCTCATACAAACTTCTCATTTGCTCTTTTTTAAACTCCTCCTTTACGTTGTAATTGTGAGATAGATTCTCCCAATGGGTAATCACATTTTCCTGCATAGCGAAATATTTTTTCCTTTCATTCGTATGCACATAATAAAAAATGGAACTCATTTCTTCAGAATCTACATATTCACCTAGGGTGGAAATTTTTTCTATGAATTCTGTTTCCGATAACTCTTGTGTATGATTTATATATTCAAAGTATCCCTTCTGGATGAATCGACTTCGTCTCGATTCAACTTGGTCATGCGCCTCTTGTGAAGTTAGTTCTGACGATGCTGTCGTGGTGCTATCCTCCCAACAGATGCACGGAATGTCGACACTACTACCACCTTCGTTGGTAAAGTCGGCACTTCTTCCTTTTTTCTTCCTGTTTTTAATAAAGCAGTCGTTATACATACACAGCCGCTGAGGCAATCCATACATGGCCTGACTTGAATTATCGTTCAGATTGTTACGTCCCATTACTGAAGAGTCGAAGAGATTTTCATTTTCTCCTACCCTGTCGGGTCTCCTTTCTTCCGGGGGTTCTTTAAAAGAATCCTGGCAAGCTAATCGCCTTGCCTTTCCCTCTGTCCATTCATCTGCCTCTTCATGGGTCTTTCCGTCCGTCGTAAAATGGGTAGTCTGACAGGTGCGTGTAGGGGTGGAGTGCAAAATGTTTAGAGGAAGGATTACACCGTGAGTTATGAAACCACTAGATTGAGGAATTACGCGCTGCGCACTTCCATCACCCAATTTCCACTCGGAACTTCATGACTGGATTTTACCTCCACCACCAGGAAAAGCAATCCTATGAACACTATATTCAAAATGCGAAACAAAGAGGAGTCGCATCTGTTGATTCCTTTTCTGCTGCCGGGATTTCCTTGCTGATTAGTCATTTCCATCGAATTATCCACCTCCATAATGGCGAATTTTGGGGGACTCTCTCTGAAGAATGGCTCATCAATACCACTTCGCATTATCATTAAACCGCTCAGTTCTGTTAACTTCCTCTTGGTGGAGTAAGAAAAAAAAAAAAAACAGAAAAAAAAACAAAAAAAAAGCTACACGACTGTGCCTCTTATGTAAAAGAAGAGATGGTCGATTCCTTTCTTCTTGTCCAATCCTATGCAGGCTCACGCATATATATTATATACTGCTGTAGTGCCACGTACCGTTGGTACAACGCACGGCATGTACAGCGTGTGGAGAAAATCTAACTTTGTGCTCAAAGGACAACCAAAAAAAACAAGTAAAACAAAGTTAACGAAGATTACAAGAAAAGAAAACAGAAGGGATAACACTATGGTTTTGCTACAAAACCTAGGGACATAAAGACAAGAGAAAAAACTAGGAAAAAAAAAAACGGCAAAAACAACAAGTGACCAAATGACGAACCAACAAACCGGCTAAGCAACCAATTAACGGAACAAAGGCTGCTCTTTCAGGACGCCTGCGACGAAAGGACACTAAACCCGTAGCGACTAAAAATAAAAATCTATGAAAACAAAGTGGACGGAAATACAAAAGAGGGATAACCCTGACGGTCCAGAAATAAAGCCGCTAAAGGAAGGGATCAATGCTAAATGAAGAAACAAACAGCGCGAAAAAGTAGTCACAACAGAGGGTGGAACTGGAGCAGAACCAACATGACAGTTACTAGCGAAGAATCAGAAATATATATATGCAGATAAATAAAGCCCAAAAACAAAACATCTTCGCTAAATCATGAAGCGCCGCTATAAGCCGAGCGGGGGAAGACGTACTATACTATGTCATATAATGTCGCGCTATGCGAGTATACATCTTAAATTGTTTCTTCTTCTTTTTTTTTTTTTTTTTTTTTTGCATAATCTATATTCTTTGCTTCCATCCTAATAATTCCCTTTCTTCTGTCAGATTCGATTTCTATGCCCCCGTAGAAGCATACATCACTTTTATACGTGGTGGAAAAAACAAAAACAGCAACAAATCAAATTTTCCTAACAACATGTTGCCCCGTGAACGGACACCAACCTACTTAAGAGCGAATTGTAGAAGTAGAACCGCTTTTTTTTTTTCGGCACTACTTTTCTTGGCACTACCTTCATAATTTCTTTCCTGACTTGCCGCGTTTGCCTATACTTCTTGTATCCCCCTTTTTTACAAATTTTTTTTTTTATTTTTTTCTGTTTTTTTTGCCGTTTGGCAGAAATTATGTCCTGGCCTTCCTAATAGGCCCATCAAACAAAGAAAAATCTCCAATGGTTAAAGACTTCGCAAAAATAAAATTGCGCAATTTTTTTGCTCATTTCTTAGGAGGAATAAATAAAAGCCAAAGAGAAAAAAAAGAAAAAATACTGCTTAATTCCGCGCCGGTATTAAAATTCAGGCCGACGCCCAGTAGGGTTTCTCACTCGCGTATGCCCTCCCCCCGCGCGCCCAACTCGAAACCCACATATAATTCTTCTTCCTCCATTCAAAAAAATTGAAAATTCATTTTGTAGAATTAATCTATGAATAGGAGATACCACCAAAATGGACTTTTTTTTTTTTTTCTTTTTCTTGGTGTTTCTATTTTTTTTATTTTCTGTCATCTCTCCCTCTAGCGCCCATATTCGTCTATTCCTTCCCCACATCTTCACATTTACTATCGCGTAACATACATTTCGGGGATGTACTCTATACTCTATGCGATGTTTTTCTTTTCATTTCCTTCTTCTTAAAACCGAAAAGGAACTCCCTTTGCTGTCTTTGTCACACTGAAGAATTGGTCCCAAGGAGGAGGAAAAAAGACAAAGCATCACTTCGAAGGGGGGAAAGGGGCACATGCGCGCAGATTGATTGATAGAACTCTTATGCGAGAAGATACAGACGCTGCTTCACACCGATTCGTTCCACTTTCAAACCATTCGCGAACACACATCGACCGAGTTAATCGCGGAAGGGACGAATTGGTTAACCTCTTCCGCTCAGGATCACTCCCCCTAAGGGGAGGCGCCCCTGCGAATTTTCACGAATGAAACATGTGCTCACATTAACTAGTGAAAGGGGACTCTGAAATTATGCTATCTCCACTTTCCCTTTGGAACGGCACTAAGAACGTTTTGTGTCGATAAGACGAAAGAGGACGAAACACCAGACCATGGGAATCAACCCCGAGGAACCACCTTTGCGACTTTCTGTCTACCCCATTCCAATGTATAGATACACCCCGTTCAGACAGCTCCCAGATGGGCAATGCTAGTGCGAGTGAACTTCTCCCCCAGGCACACATCACCACAATGGGAAAAAGCAATAGCTGCTGCGTACCCAGTTGGTGATTTCATTAAGTGTTAATCATTGCGGACCAAATGGAGTTAAAATAAAAAAAGAAAAAAAAAAAAGAAACTCCAGATGGATGAATTATTCTTTCTCATCTTAGTTATACTCATCTGGTGAATGCAGCGAAGCGCGTGGATGGACACGACCAGGTCAAGCGAATCACCGGAATCAACCGAGTCAACCGAATCACCCCGGGTCCACATTCCCGCCGTTCTTTCCCTCTCTCATAGGAATGGCGAATGCCTAAATGGTGGTTACTCTGATTCTGTTGGCTAAGCTTCCAAATTGGATGCGTCAGGGGGAGGATTCAACAGAGCTTACGGTCCCTGCTGCATGGGCACACTCCTCATCGTCACACCTCCCGATCAAGCCCCTGTCATGGTCGAGTTCAACATCTCCATGCATGTGCTGTTCACACTCCTTCGGAAGTTTCTCCAGGAGAGTTTCGTCAGATTAATGAACTCCACAAAGAGTCTCTTGGAGCTCGACCCTTGCTCGAGAAAGTTGTATAGCTTGTTGTAAAATTTTCTCTCCATGTAAAACAGCTCATCCTTCATGTAGTAATAAACCTTAATCCATTGTTCAGCCTTTGTCTTTCTCGAAACATTATAAGTAGAAGCAAGATCTTCACAGTATTCAATGATATTTTTCTGCATGTTGATGTATTTTGTTCTTTCAAACCCATTGACGTAGTTCCAAATGATAAACATCTCCTTCACATCTACGTATTCTTCTAACCTCTCAATGGTTTCATTAACTTCATCCTCAGATATGCTTCTTATGAATTCATTTTCCTTCATTTCGTACGGGTTGCTATCATATTCCTCCTTCTTTCTCCTTTCATTCTCCTTTATCGTGTCATAATCAGGTAGTTCGTATCTCTCTGCTATATCGTTATGCACATAATCGATTGCATTTTCATTCTTTGTATGCTCTGCTTTTCCATTGTTCATTCTAAAATGCCCATCCAAATGAGTCCCACTGCCGTGCTTAGAGTTACCACGACTGCTGCTCGTGTCAGCAATGTCGTCGTCTTCGTCGATTTCATCGTTTATTGGTCTCCTAGGATAAGATTCCGCTAGTTTTCTTTGACGCCATTCTGTGCAGGTCCCTTTGCTACTACTTAGCAATTGTCCATTTAGGCCTTTTTCCTACATGCAGGGCGAGGGTAAAAAAAAAAAAAGGCAAGTTATTCATTTAGAAGGACAGCTCAGAAAGGGTAGGACCGGGAAAGCTACCAGTTCCGTTGATTCGTCTATCTAGCGCACCCACCTGCTGTACCAGGAGGACCATGGACGTCACCAACAACATGTTGAGGAGCCCCAGAATTCCAAAGCTAAGGCTCACGCCGATTTTCGTGCCTTTCGATTCTTGCTGTCCGAAGGAGCCACTCTCGGATGTGTGCCTTCTCTGCCTTCTATTCGAGGGAAGACCTCTATCCGTGAGGGGAGCACCCCTGTTGCTACCGGGGCGTGCCATTTCTGGGGGGTTACGACTACTGGTGGGGGGTAGGTAAATAAAGGGAAGAATGTGGCATAGAAAAATGCGACAATCTTGGCGTAAAAAAAGTCACAAACGTGGCACAGAGAGGGCGACACTTCACCGCACTAACACGCTACATGGTTGACGTGGTGAACGTTCACATTGAATCTGTCCTTTGGGGACTGAGTGACCCTTGTTTTCTCCCTCTCCAGTCGCTATACTCTAACGCTAATAGGACTGAAACAAAGCGCGTCTCTCTGTACGTACACGACAGGCCACTACCAAAAGCACATAACTTTTTGCAGAAAAAAGAAAGCAAAGATGCGATTTGGAGTTAAAAATGTTATCCTAAATAGGGGAAGCGGATGTTATACTGAAATAAAAAAGCAGAACCAGAAAATGGGATTCTCTAAAATGCCACTAAGATGGTTCACGTTTTAATAAATGGATTCTACTGCGTTTCTAAACAGTTCACAAAAATAAAATTACCAAAGAAGTGACTACTAAAGAGTACGAGTTGCAAAGTTAAGGAATCTGAAAAACGACAAACGGAGCGCCATTTTGACAAACATCGTGTTTAAAAGAAAAAAAAAAAAAAAACTAGCTGCTGGAGTTGTTTTTTTTTTAGAACAGTTCTTTTTTTCAGTTAAAAGGGCAGAAAAAAAAAAAAAAATAATAATAATAAAATCCTGTATAGAAATATAAAAGCCGAAAATGCTAATCCCAAGAATACATTTATTCTAATTTTTACGTTCGAAGTTTTATTACTTTGTGATTTTTATATTTTTCCCCCCCCCTTTCACATACCCCCTCTGATGGCTGCAGAAATAGCAACATGTTTGTGAAGAACTGTTCTTCGTACACGGAGGTACCGGAATGGTGAAGCATGCCTCAAATTGTGCGGCCCAGAAATGTGACTCACTCTGTGCGATGGCATAACTTCTTAGTTTATACGAGTACATGCCACGGATATGTATTATGTACGTACGTATGTGTATGTATATTTTTTTTTTTTTCTTTAAACTGTGAGAAAAATTCGATGCACTCTCCTTTAGTTTAAAAAAAACGCGTGGTATTTCGTTGTGTTCCCATTGCGTTTCGTTGCGTCCCGTCGCCTCCCCACCAGACAGCCCCAGGCCTTGGACCGAATAGGCTAAACGAAATTGTAAAAGACTGATCACTCATGTACGGCAAACTATCCTCGCGTTCTTATCCATGCATGTGTTTATGCAAGAAACCATCCCCCTCGAAGAATCAAATCCTTATGGGGTCATTTCCTCCCTCTTTCCTGCTTCCACGATTAGAATCATGAGAAGGAGAAACCTAAAAATAGGTTGAAGTTCAATCTGCAACATAGATGAAGGACAAGAAAAGCATTCAATCGTTCAGTTATAAAAAAAAAAAAGAAAATTATAACAAGCGTCCAAAGAGAAGTGACACAAAAAAAATGGATTCATAAGATTGGTAGCGCCGATTCCCCAATTGCACAATAACAGGAAGGGATTCATTTGTGAATGATCCGATTGACATGCTTCCAAAACAACTGCACTTCCATTTGGGTAGTCCACTAGAATTCTGCTTCTTAACCCCCCCTCCTTTCCCTCATTTCCCCTTCTGCTTAGGCTCAAAACAAATTCAAGCCTGTTCGGGATGCAATGGAATTTGCCCCGTTTAGCCAATAACTCTTCATTTTCTCCTACAAATGGCTTCTCCACATGTTGCTAAGTGGCCACATGATGTCCTTTCCATTGCATCTAGTAGGCGAAAATGTTCATTGAAATTCTTTTTCGAGGAAACTACCCCTTCTTCGTCAGCTTCCTTAAATTACGAAGATATGATTTCTCCTTACGAACAGAAGAAGCAGTCGCTTCCCTTTGCACCTCGGAACATTGCTTTTGTACATAGTGTGCACGTACTCTGCAGTCATTAGCTAGTTCTGTGCAGTAATTCTTTAGGTTCTCTTGTATTTGGACTGACTTCTTCCTTTCCTCCATGTGCACGCTGGCAAAGATGGCACTCATTTCTTGGGTAGCCATAATGAAACTTTCTTCACCACGGGAAGTTTCACCCAACACGTCACTCTCCATCACAACCTCGCTCACGTGTGTGCGGCTCCGCACGCTATTCGCCGCGTCGCTCCTCAGGCTGCTAACCGAGCCGTGCTCTCTCATCCAATCCATCTAGAACTCGCCGCTGCTGTACACCCTTTTCGACCCTCCCGTCCACGTTACTCCCCCATGCACTGTCATTTCTGTGAAGGAGCAAGGCGAATTTTTCTTGCATTTGTTTAAGGCCCTTTTTCCACCATCGGTTCGTCACCCCGTTTCTGCGGCGCACCGCCAGTCTCCAAAAAGGAGCCAGCGTCCATGCGAAAGAAAAAATACATATATATGTATGCGTCCATGTGTGCACATGTCCATCTTCAAACACATATTCCCGCATGCGCGGGCGTCCTGTTCGATCCAAAATTGCCTACTTGGAACAAAAAAAGGCACACAACCCCAGAGGAGTGCCCTGTATAGGGGTACAACTGAAAAATTGCTTCCGCTTCTGGCGTCCCTGATTCGTTCTTCACCTCAGGGGGGGTAGTGAAGATGGCTACCTTCCTGTTTACTGTCCTGGTGTCTTAATTTTACCCACCCTATGCACTCTATCTTCCTTCCCCTCTCCGTTGTCCCATCCATCTATGCTCTGTCGCGGACCTTGTGATTCCTCGTACGCATCACGCACATTTGCACCGAATTCAGAAGCCCTTCTTCTGTTAGCCACCCTATTTCGAAAATTCAGAAAAAAGAGAAGATCACCTTGCAGGCAGTGAGACACGGCTAATACTCTCCTATTAAAATCTACTGGAGCGAGCGAGAAAAAAAAGAAAGAAAAAAAAAGAGGAGAAAAAAAAAAACGGTCGCATCGAACGGACAAAGTGAACCATAAAAGTGAACGCTTTGTTGTACTTAGTGAATCGCATCTGACAAGAAAGAAATAAAATTAAAAATACCGCTAGCAATCGTTTACCGCTACTCCCCACTACGATACTGAGAAATAGTCTATAGAGAGTGTGTGGAAAAATAAAACTCGATACTTAAGTCACTGTTGCGAACAAAATGAAATATAAAAAGAAAAAACTCCTTTTGGGGAGTGCTGCACCTGAGATAACTACCCTGTCTCTTTATTCCCCCAAAGAAATAGGCCAACGCAAATATCACATTCTAGAATGACATACGCCTACCACCCGTAATGGGTGCGAAAAAAGCGCTGCCAACGGGTTTGGAGGCTTAAGTGGCTGACTCTTTCTCTCAATTACCACTGCCCCCTTAACAATATCTGGCCTTTTCTTTTTTTTTTTTCTTTCTTTTTTCAAAGGGGGAAAGCGAATGTTACATTACCCATTTCACGGTTTGAAAAAACGGATGAACAAAACTGGCACAAAGAAACCTCCCCCCAGACGTCACCCTTGCATGCAATTTAGCCTGTTTAATGCAGCTTACCCCTTTCCTGTAAAGGGAAACCTTCACGCGTTCACATGCATTTTTTGCGAAACCTCTTTCATAGAAGACATCGACACAATGGCTGTAAAAACAATTCCACATTTTTTTCTTTTCCCCTTTCGACGAAGGGCATCGATTTCTAAAAAATAGGTACTTTCTTTAGGCATGAGTAATTGCATATAAACACCCCATATCTGTGCATGTCCCGTGGTACAGAACTGGTAAGCAAGTGTTTACCACACACCGGTAAAAGGACTCCAATTTGCCATGAACCATGAGCATCACAACTGTGGGAACGAAGCTGCTTCTTTTTTTTCCATTCAGTGCTATCTCTGTATGATGACATACTAGGTGACGTGTGCCGTGCCGCGAAACAAAGTGCCCTATGCAAAGGGACACCCCCCGATGAGACGAGCACGTGTAATGCAGGCATGTCGCGTGTATTTGGTAGGGGCGGGGTCACATCCGCGGGGGCACGGCTCTGTTCTTTCCTTCTCTTTTCTTTGTTTTTTTTTTTTTTTCTTTTTGCGGGTTGGTAACGTGACAAACGGTTAGGTGTACAAAAAAAAAAAAAAAAAACACTCGGCATAGGCTTAGCGACGTGCTGGGGAAGCCTGACCCATGTCGAAAAACACACGAAATGCACACCTACAACACAGAAAAGGGTCACGAAAAAATCACGGGAAAAAATATGACAAGCGGACGACCCAGGTCAACCCTTCTTCCCCCTCACAAGACGCAGTCATCATAGAAAGATCCCGCTGAGCATTATTTTGTTCTCCTCATTGTACTTGTTAATGCAGGAAACCTTGGCGCCAGTCTTGGGGTTTTTCTCAATTTCCTTCTCTTGCGCATCCTCCACATATTTTTCGAAGCTCCTGGAGAGTGACTTCTTCCAGTCGTGTATCGCCGTGTCCATAAGAACATCCCAGGATTCATATTTGTCAATAATAAAAGCAATATATTCCCAGCGAACGTTACATCCCGCATCAATAAAAACTTTTAAGTCCATGTAATCTTCTCTTTCCTTTTTGAGGAACTCATCCTTAAAGTGGAGGTAAGCTTCTCTCCACACCTTTACTGTAAACTCCTCTGGGATGTTGTATCTTGCGGACATATTTTTGCAGTCCTTCAAGAGCTCCTCTTTCAAACTCAAGTATTTTTTTTTTCCATTCGTATGCACATAGTTCCAAAGGGCATACATGTCCTCTAGGTCGATGTAGCCACGTAACTTTCCGACCATTCTGTGAAATTGCTGTTCCGTTAGCTCTTCTCCCTGTTTGTTCTCATATTGCAGTTCGCTCTCTATGTTGTCTTCATCCTCCTCCTCTGTCTCTGCGTCGCTGCTCTCAATGCTTCCTATATCTCTACCCTCTCCGTTGATACTCTTTTCATTCTCCTTCCTCGGCGATATCATCTCCTCTTCCTTCTTCGGCGTGCTGCTTATGGGGGGGGCCCTCAAGTGCCTCTTCCTCTCCAGCAGCTTCATGTCATTTGAGTCAATGTACTCCTCTAAGCTGCGTAAAATTACTTCGGAGAGGTTTCTTGGGCAACATGCGGAGGATTTCCATTGAGAGCATTTCCATTGGGTGGGTCTCCATTCGGGGTTATATCTTGGACCATCTGCTGTCATCAGCCACTACGAAGGGGAAGCAAAAAGGGAGAAACAAATAAACATGGATCCATGCAAAGGGTGCCTCTTGGAACGTTCCTCCCCGCAGCATACAGTTACATGCCGCTACATCTTGAATTTTTCCACTTACTCGGCAGACCAGGCAAAAGAAGCAACAAAAGAAAAATCCCACACGTGCGGAAACGGAAGCTCTGCCTCCACACCCACTTCCAATTCGGCCAGAAATGCACAAATTTAGCTGTCCCTTCTTCCTCCTTTCCTCCTCAGAGGACTTGGAACCTTTTTTCCACATAACATCCGCCATTGGGAAATCCGGATGGGGGATGGTCCGGCACGATGTGAACAACCTATCGCTGCTCCCGACAGGAAGGAGGGTCAAAAGTGTTCACAAAAGAAGGAAGAACAGAGGGGGGAAAATTAAAAAATGGGCCCCACATATAAATAAATACATACATGTACATATAGAACACGAGATAGCGGTGGCTCCCCGGGGTTGGACAGTGGTTTGATAGCTTAACCAGTTGGTCAAGTACTGCTCTACGGCTAAAGAGGGTGCACTAAGCCAAATGGCTACCTAACCTCGGAATGAAAAAAAAAAAAAAAAATACATAAATAAGAATACATAAATAGAAATACGTAGAAAAAGAAAACCTCAAAGGGGAAAGGCCCAAAGTACAGCAGTAGGCACCAATAAAGAGCATTCCCTACGTGCGCATATACAAACATACATGATACACATATGTGAAAGTACAAGCGGATTGAATTGGCCAGTAAGAATTCACCGGGGGAAGAGGCAGATTCATATGAAGATGTGGGCCTCGCGAAACCAATCAGGGCACGCGCAGACCCACGGTGCATATAAATCAACCAACAATTCCTGCAATTGTCTCAAAGGAATCAAAAAAAAAAAAACTCACTTAAGTGAATATCCACATATGTATGATACAATCCCTGAACATATAGAATGGTATGCAATTGGGGAAAACCCGCCAAAAAGGTGTTCACCGCTTTGCCGTCTCTACAACAGACGGGGCGTCACGAAAGGCTTCAACTCTGTGGCCGCCGCTTCAGCCAGTGGACACGCGTCTCGTGAGCGGCGGTAGCAGAGGCCATACATAAAAAAGTATATATATATATATATGTGCTACGCATGGCAGATGAACGCGCTGCTCCAATTTTTGGAGATTAATGCGCCTCCTCCATGCCATAGTTCTTTTCTTTTTCCAACAAAATTTCGACGCAATTAACAGAACATGTCGCAAAAAAAAATGCAAAAAGGGAAACAGAAAATGCCAAAGCAGTGCCAAAAAAAAAAGCAAAAAAGAAAAAACTGCTAAACATTCGTAGAAGATGCTCTTCCAAGTGAAATGCCACCGTGGCGGTGACGAAGCCACCAGGTTACGTATCGAATTATGTCAGGGGGGAGGATGGGCTGATGCCTCGGCCTCAAATATTAGCTGATCAAATGTTCACATAAAACAACACCGCGTTTTTCACCTATTCATAAACTATAGAATGCTCTCCTGTAGGTACAAAAAAAGAGGCAAAAATTCTACTATGTCAGAAAGAATAAGCTTACGGATAAATTAGTTATTACCATGCCAAATGGGCGCTTCTTCTTCCTGTTCAATGGTATATATTGTGGTGGAGTCAAGCGGAAAAGGA